CAAAAAAAAAAAAAAAAAAAAAAAAAAGTCATCTTAATTACTGAGTGTTTCTGTGCCTCCTTAAATTTTGCACCTGAGATGAATATGCTTCAGTTGCCTCACCCTAGTCTTTGCCCTGATGTAATGTCTGTATTTTCTCGCAGCCACCAGTCACTAAAAGTCTAGTAACCAACTGTAAACCAGTAACTGATAGAATCCACAAAGCATATAAGGACAAAAACAAATATAGGTAAGTACTACATACATTTTCTCTTTGTTTAATTTAAGGATAATTATGAGTGGTATTTTCATAATTTTACCATAGTTTATCTATTAAGCATTCTTTGAAATTTATGTGAGATTTCCTTTAGTAATATGGAAAAATTAAATCATTCCAAGGATGCTGATTTTTTTTAAGTTTTATAAAGTGCTTTTCTTATTGAAATTTTATTTTACATATCCACATAAATATTTAAACTCTTTAAATATGTTTTGATATTAGGTTTGAAATCATGGGAGAAGAAGAAATTGCTTTTAAGATGATTCGTACCAATGTTTCTCATGTGGTTGGCCAGTTGGATGATATAAGAAAAAACCCCAGGTACTGTTGTTGTTGTTTGTTGTCATCGTTTTTAATTTAGAACATTTTAGGTTCACAGCGCAATTGAATACAGAGTATGGAGGAAAAAAAGCAGTAGGACTAGAGAGACGGGAGTGGCTTATTTCTGTTTGGAGCAGACGGAAATGTCTAACGGTAGAGGTAGTGTTTGAACCGAGAGATGGGAGTTGTGAGTTGAGATCGGGCCCCGCGTGCCCAGGGACTAGCACGGACGTCTCAGAGTCCAGTGACAGGACTGTTCAGTGAGGCTGAGGGCTGGGCTGAGGGGCGGACAGCATCGTCGGGGAGGTGCGGCCAGACGGCTGGCACTCTCAGAGCATTTCTAAAAAGGTGCTCCCAGAGAAGTTGTTTTGGTGGTTAGACCTGCAATTCAAAGTGAAGTTCAAATTAGCTTCTGAGGAAAAAGGAAAGCTACCATAAATGTGAAAATCCAGTAAACTGCAGTCATTCTTTGGGGATAAATTCAATGTTCAGGTTTACATAAACCTTGAAAATTTCCAGCCTGGCCCCCTAACAGTTGCCCTAGTTCGATAAAATTGGTTAAAATCTGCATTTTTGAGTTTTGAACTTTAGTGGGAAATAGGTGTTTCAGTAGTTTCTCAGAAAAAAACCCTTGGCATATGAAATTGAATATTTTCATCTGAGTTTTTCAAATGCTTTTGGAAGTTTTATCTCTTTTAAATTATGATCTTAATTATACACGATCAGAGGTGTAAAATTTCCGGGCATTTTAAAGCCATGGTATTTTTTCTTAAAATTCCATTCTTGATTTTTGGGCAGGGGGGAATATGGAATTTTAAGAAAAATGAAAATATTTTTAATACTTATGTAGTATATTCATAAAATATTTCCTACAAAATAACAAATACTTCCCACAAGCTAAGCAAACAATAAGCCATAATAATTAAGAACCACCCAGCTTGCAGCTCTTTTTGTACATGCTGTTCCCTTCTTGGAATGCCCTGCTCAAATTTTAAAAAACAAAAACAACCTTAAGGGCCAATTTCAGTACTTGCTGCTTGCTTCCCCCATTGTGTCGACGTGCTTGCTCAGTCCTTGGTGATCTGTAGTGAGACCAATTGAGAATTCAGAGTTTTTAGTTGTACCCTATACTTTTATGTCTTGTGCCAGTTTGAAAGTTGTTGGGCGAGAGGATTCACAGACATCTTCATGATACTTAAAGGGATATGGTTTTGCTGAAAAGACCCAAGGCAAGACAGGCTTTCCAGCAGTGTCTGCCGGGCCCAGATACGTCCTATAACCCTGAACAGATTTTATCATTTTTAACTCTTGCTCTGTTTTACTTTGTGGGGCTCATTTTTAAGTCAGGAGTGGAAAACCAGCCTTCTGACTGACTTACACTTTAAGGACAGGTTTATCGCATTAACGGGGAATCTAGGAGAGGCAGTATCTGGGCTCTGCTGCCCTTCTCCCTTCCTGCTTGTGTTGACTTCATCCTCAGGCTGGAGATAGGGCAGCTGCAGCAGTTCCAATGTCCCTGCAGACATAGCCGTGTTCTGAGGCTATAGGGGACTGTCCCTTCCTATGTGTTGTTCCCTCCCCCCATTCCTGTACCAGTCGCCGTGAAGGGGAGCGATTCACTTACGCTAGTCAGAAGCTGACTCTGGGTTGGGGTGCGGTTGCCTACCTTTTGAGTCAGCTCATGGGGGAGAAATACGGAGCAAAATGCAAGTTCTCATTGGAAGGAGAGGGAGTGTTTGCTGGGCACCCAGCAAGGTCTGCTGTAGTTACCCTGTGTCTACACATACTCTTTGTCTCATACACATACTTTCTCCTTTAACTTTTCCCAACTTATTGAAAAATTTTGAAGATACAGAAAAACTGAAAAAATTAGTACAATAAACCCTTAGCTCAGACTTTTAAAGTTTCAGCATTTTGTCATGTCTGTCTGCTCGCTCTCTCCATCTCTCTGTATGGACACAAAAACACACAGGTTTGATTTTTGTGTTGTTTGCTAAACCATTTGAAAATTAGTTGCAAACATCCAGACCCTTTACCCCTCATTATTTTAGCACGTCTTCTTCCTTTTTTGGCTGCATTGGGTCTTCATTGCTGAGCGTGGGCTTCTCTTGTTGTGGAGCACGGGCTCTAGGCGTGTGGGCTTCAGTAGTTGCGGCACGTGGGCCCAAGAGCGTGTGGGCTTCAGTAGTTGTGGTGCACGGGCTCAGTAGTTGTGGAGCACGGGCTCTAGGTGTGCAGGCTTCAGTAGTTGTGGCTCATAGGCTCTAGAGCACAGGCTCAGTAGTGTTTAGCACATCTAAACAGTCATACTCCTTTATACCACAGGACCACTAACACATATCCAAGAACCTTAACACTGACTAAAATAGTACCATCTAACAGATGGTCTGTATTCAAACTTCACCAGTTGCGTCCAGATGCCCTTTACAGCTGTTGTTTGTTTTTAATCTAACAAACAGTCAAGCCTCATGCATTGTATTTGGTTGACATAACTCTTTAATATCCTTTAATTTAAACTCCCCCAACTTTAGAGATAGGATAATGAACTTCCACTTACTCATCACTTATCTTCAATAAGCAGAGACTTTTCTCCTCCGTTGTCTTTTATAAGCATTTATGTTTTTAACTTTGTTGGTTTGAAATGGTATCAAGTTAATTCATTGCAATTAAGTCCATAGGTTCCCCGTCTCTTTTTTTTTAAAACCATATAAATGTTTGCATGTGTATATGAAGAAATCAGATTATATATTCTGTAGATTTCCTGAACTTTGGACTTTTCTGATGGTCTCCCAGTTGTTTAACGTGTTCCTCTGTCCCCTGTATTTCCTGTAAGTTGGTAGTAGGATCTGAGGGCTTTATTAGACTTGATAAAATTGTAAAAAAAAAAAAATTAAAATTAAATGTACTTCAAAAGTGGTGTTATCCCTACCTGCTGTTTTAATGGGCCCTCAGTTTAGTGACTTTTGCCGGGAAGGGAACCTGAAACAAGTAGGGAAGCACCACTGTAACCTACTTTTTGCTGGAACTCTAGAATCTTACAGCCTGGTTGGAGACATGTTAAGAAGTCATCATCAATCTCATAAAATCTATAGCTATAAGGAACCATCTCTATCGCAGTGATCTACAGGACTGTTCTTAGTAATGTAACTGTATCAGTTCAGAGAACTCAGTTGTAGGCACTTAGTAGTTTTTCCCTGGATGCTAACAGAATGCTTCAGTCAGGGACATGCCGAATAGAAATGAAAATAATTTACTCCCATAGCTAGAAGGCACATTCAAAATTATCATCCCTAGTTCTTTTTGTTTTACAGGAGAGGAATATCTAAAAAAATTTACAGAACATCATTCCCCTAGAGAATCATATCAGTAAATGCAACAGCTTGGGACATAAGTCCATTTAAAATATATTTGGAATCCACACTTCTTTTGTTAGGTAAGGATCATCCTTATGATAACCAGTAATAGCCCTGGGTCTCTCTTGTTTCCAGGAAGTTTGTTTGCCTGAATGACAACATCGACCACAATCATAAAGATGCCCAGACAGTGAAGGCTGTTCTCAGGGACTTCTACGAATCCGTGTTCCCCATTCCATCCCAGTTTGAGCTGCCAAGGGAGTATCGAAACCGTTTCCTTCATATGCATGAGCTGCAGGAATGGTAAGGTTTCCTGTTTCATATACGTACATATGTGTATTTTTTCTTTTTTTAGAGTGATGAAATTTCTTTACTGTGTTATTTGCTTTCTTTGTAAAATACACGCATAGTTTTTATTGAGCTCACTGGCTGAGCACACTTTCTGAGCCTTATTCGTCATCACTGCCATCGAAGTGGCTGCCCTGTTTCTTGAGTACCTGCTGGGCAGTATATTTACTCTTTACAATGAAAGGTGCTACTCCTGTTGCCACGTTACAGGTGAGAGCACAGTAACAGAAGTGAGTGATTTGCTCAAGGTGGAGTAGCTGACAAGTGGCAAGTCCAAGCCTGATTCCTGACCCTTCACACGTTCGTTCCACTCTATTCCAAAGCTGCTTTACAATGTTTCCTTCTTTGATTTTTACTACCATTTACTACCAACACTTAATTAGAAAGATAATTTTATCTTTCAATTTAGGGAAATTTTTGACCCCTTGCCTGCCCGCCATGCCAGGCACTAGGAATAGGGGCAAGCCTCGGAGATATTGCGGGTTCGGTTCCAGACCACTGCCTTCCCCAGTTCATATAAAAGTTATGTTCAGGCTATATTGTAGTCTATTAAATGTGCAATAGCATTATATCTTTAAAAAAGTACATTCCTTAATTTTAAAATATTTGCTAAAAACGCTAACCATCATCTGAGCCTTCAGCAAGTTGTAGTAAATATCAAAGGTCATATTGATCATAGATCACCGTGACAAACATAATAATGAAGAAATTTGAAATATTGCAAGAATTACCAAGATGTGATACAGAAATACGAAGTGAGCAAATGCTGTTGGGAAAATGGTGCCGATAGACTTGCTTGACACAGGGCTGTGCAGTGCAGTAAAGTGAGGCCAGTTAGATGTGGTGTTGCCTGTGCAAGACGGAAGGGACACTGCGCCGGCCTTCACCAGAAGCCAGCGAACCAGCCGTGACACGGAGGACGTGACACGGAGGCCGATAGATAGGCTTCAGTGCTCTCAGAGTACAGAGGAGGAAGCAGCTAGTTCCATGGCAGCACGGTGACATTTGGACTTGGTTTTGAATTATGAAAAGGACTTTTCCAGGTAGGAAGGGTTGCCGGTAGTGTTCCTTTGTACCTGCAAAGACACCGAGCTACAGAAGACAGTGCTGTGGAGAGGGAAAGGAGAAATTGTGAAGGGCTGTATCTGAATTAGACATCTTTCTTTAGAGAATAGGGGTTCCTCATCAGAGTTCACGATTTGGAAAGATAACTGACAGTGGTTGCGGGGTGGACTGGTGAGGAAGGCGTCTGGAGTAAGGCAGTGTTGTCTGGGAACTTGAGGCAGAGAGACAAGCAGTAAGCATTTCACTTGTCCTGGAAACAGATGGTCAAGGTGTGAACCAAGGACATGGCCCAGGGAATAGAGAGAAAGCAGTAGATACAATTGGCAGAGATTTGAGAGAGGAAATTAGCAGACTTTGGCAGCTAGAGCTCTTTGGTGTCTTGCAGTTGGGTGAGACAATTAGCATGTGTATTGCTACTATGTACATATTTTTATTTTCATAAGGAGAAGTTGTTACTAAATAACTTGTCTTCTAGCAATGGCAAGGAACGGTTTCTCACCATTTTCACTTTGCTTTAGCTCAGAGGAAAAAGAAAGATCTTTGGACGGTTCCAGCTGTCAATCCCCACAAATCCAGTTCGTGACTAAATTCACCTTCAAGGGCCCTACTGAATAAGAAAGGAGTGGGTTTAAGAGTAGCTGGAGAGGGCTTTGATTTCTGTGTTGTGCAGAGGAGGTGAATCAGGTGCAGGTTGCTGATCTGGGGGCTTCCTTTTCCTCAGCCCGCTCCGCTTCTGTGTCATCTCTCACTGCTGACCCACCAACGCCTCCCTGCTTTCTGTTGGGCTGGCCAAAAGGTTCCTTCTGGTTTTTCCACATTATGGAAGAAAACCTGAACGAGCATTTTGGCCAAACCGATAGAAACTTTTTCCTTCGCTTTCCTTCCGTGATCCTGCACTCCTGAGTCCCCGTCATCTTCCCCTGGTTTCCTGCAGTGGCTTTCTTCCTGTCCCTTTCTCGGGAATAGCAGCTTCTGCACTTAGAGCAGTCCATGTGGTGTGCCTGTCGCTCCTTGTAGACTGTGAGCCCTCGTCGGGGCAGAGACTGGCTCTCCCTGTCCGAGTCCACTTGCATCCCTCGTGCATAGTAGGTACTCAGTGCATGGCTGGCTGAGGTGAGCTCAGCTCCCCTTCAGCTGTTACAGGGTTCTCTGGTCACTGGGGCAGCTCATTAGCTGTGTCACAGCCTGTGGCTTCTTAGCTCTTCAAATTACACATGGCTTCTGAATGATACGGTAGACGTTAGAACTCACTGAGCTGGTTTTTGATCCTCTTAACGTAGGAAACACAGGAGGAAGAAGGGTGCGGGGCAGGGCCCCGTTTGGAATATGTGACTCAGAGTAGAGACAGCCACTACCAGGCAGGTGTGAGTAAGCCTGGAACTCAGCACAGAGGCCTAAACCTGGCAGTTGTTAGCATAGCATATCTTCTAAGCCTTATGTTAAGCATTTATTTAATCTTCATAACAAATTATTATTTCCAAATTACAGGTGATGAAACTGCTGTACTCCCATTTATCCCCAATATCCTATCTGTCTCCTAGGCCAGTTGATTCCACCCTCAGAATGTCTCTTCTGTTGCTTCATTCCTTCCATTCTCACTGCCCTAGTACAGCCCTCATTCTTTTCTCTGCCCAGACTGACTGGATTGCCTGCCTCTGGCCACATGCTTTGACATCCATCCTTCAGACGGCCGCCATTTGCACCCCGATTGTGACACACACACACGCACATGCTATATATCATCCCCCTTCCCACAGAGTATTATGTCCAAACGCTATTGCATGGTTTTCCAGAACAGCTGCAGTTCACACCTACCTGCTTCTCCTTGGCCAAGTGTCCCTCGTGCCTCTGTGCAGACTTGGCTCAGTTGAGCAGGACCCAGCTTGCACGGCTGCTGACGCTCATCGCCTTTCTCAGCCACAGGCTCTCCTTCCCCGCTTCAAGGCTCAAATGGAGTGTCCCCATCTCTGTGGTGCTTTCCTCATTTTGCTGTTTTTCCACAAGACTCTGCTTTTGATAACAGATATTTCTGTCCACGTGTGTGATGGCTAGTTGTCTGCACGTCAGCGCCTCCCCAGGTTTGCAGATACTTTAGAGCAGGGGACTCTCCTGGTCACCTTGCTGTATCCACAGGAGGTGCTGGTTGGGTGACTGAGCAAATACAAATGAATGGAAGAGGGGATTTTGTTTAATTTGTTAAAAATTCTAATTTTCTTTTGAAGTCCTCTCCCCTGCCTGGGTAACTTTTACTAATTCCAATATTTACTATAACAATGAAAATCTGAACTCAGGTGGGAAATGTATAATTACGTTAACATTTTAGAATTGCCTCCAGACATTGTTTTTGCTAAACTAGTAAACAGTATATAGTTTTACTTAGCTTTACTAAGTAACGATAGTTAAACCCTACACATAACTACATATTTTCCTTCTTTTCTCTCTGAACAGGAGGGTGTATCGAGACAAATTGAAGTTTTGGACTCATTGTGTGCTAGCAACATTGATTATATTTACTGTATTCTCATTTTTTGCTGAACAGGTAAGTGTTATTATATATTTTATGTGGATGTCAAACAGTATTTCTTGGTATCATTAATCTGATTTTTTTTTAAGAAAATGATATAAATTCATAAGAAGAAAATGTTTATTTCTCCTTTTGGCTTATACTCATGTTAAATATTTCATAATATTCAGGCAACAGTCATAATCGCCTTTTTTTTCCATTTATCTTCTAAATCTGTAACCAGTATTCTTTGTACCTGGGGCTCAGTAAATAGAGCTTTTCAGTTTTAGCCTGAAGTCTGCAAGTCAGACTATTTATTTTAAACCCAAAAAACCACCTCGAATCTGCATCTGACACTAATTTTCTGTGGGTCTCCAATTTTCTTTCTTTTAATCTTTCCAAACTAGTGGCCACAGCGTCTTATCTTCAGGCCTCCCCCTGTTCTGCTGACGGTGCCTGGCTCGGGCACACGGCCCGTCTCCCACTTACGTTTCCTTTGAGCTGCTGGGAGTTCATCCCCACACAGGTGCACACACAGCCACCTCCCAGAAGTCAGAGGGAGATTTGTGAGGTCAAAAGAAAGGGATAAGAGAATCCTCATTAGGCCACAGCAGGTGTGAAATGCTCAGAAAAGAAAGGATTCGGAAGGAAGGAAGGGACCGGTGTCTGGGCTGACCGACTTGTGCCGGGCAGTCGAACCTGCCTCTCAGCCTCATTCCAGGTGACTCTCAAGTGGAGCTTTTCTGCCTGTCAGGATGGGAAGCTTACACTGAGTTTACTTACAATGAGGAGGGCGGGCTTTAGGATAAATAGCCCTGGGCTTCGTGCTGCAGATGGAAGGAAACTCAGGAAATAAAGGTCTGACAGGCGAGCAGGACTGCAATTTAACCTTCATCCACTTCCCACGGAATAGAAACCTTCCTCTTGGTCTTGTTGCCATTGTTCTTGGCAAGTAAAAATCTTAGAAAAAAATCTTAAACAGATTGTACTTGCTTTTAGAACCGAGGTCCAGGGAGGAACCCGTGAGTCAGCTGTGTGCTGGCCTGCGATGGGGGAGGGGAGGGACACTGGCTGAAAGGAGCAGCTGGCGGCCACGGAAGGAACAGGAGGGTCTTTCTTCGCTGTCGTTTATACCTGCAGAGAACGGGGGACCAGAGAGGCAGGGCGAGGGGGGGAGGAAGGGAAGAGTAAATCCCCTCTCCTCCCCGACACCCTGCTCTTCACCTGCCTGAATCGAATTCTTTAACTCCTGCACACTCCCCAAAAGAGCCAGGGCTGCCTCTTCCGCTGCCCCAGAATCCCAGGTCGTCATCCAGACCAGGGTGGTCCATGCTTGGGCAAAGTCTGCTTTCACCTCAAGATGGAGCAGTAGACATTGAAACTTTCTTATAAAGGTGGTCAGGTTTTCTATTTCAGATGTTATCATGGATAAACTGTTTCCAGTAGAAGTATTTATCCAAGTTCTAAGCTACTAAGTTATAAATGAACTTTTGTATTTCAACCCATTCATGAACCTGAAAATACAGGCAATGCCCAATGATTATTGCTGTGGTCACTAAGAATAGGAAAAAAAGTGGTGATAGAATTCTTAAAAAAAAATTAAAATTCCAACTTACACAGGTAGTCATTTTCAAACCCAGAGACAATATCTTAATGGCTGAAGAGTCCATTTCCTTCAGTAGAAAGACTTGACAAACAGACACTGTGAAAATAAATATACGTGGTAATTGCTATGTAAAAATCTGTAGTTTTTATAGGTCTTAAAAAATAACCCTACGAAGCTAAACAAAATCAATGGTTGGTTTCGTTTTGAGGGGAAGAATGATGGAGACTTGTTTGCTGTTTTTTATGTATAGGACTGTGGAGAAGATTAAGGTCATAGGACCCTCAGAAAGAAAGTTAAAGTTTGTCAACCTGGAGAATTAAAATTTATTTTCTGTCTTTCATCCTTTAGTTAATTGCACTTAAGCGGAAGATATTTCCCAGGAGGAGGATACACAAAGAAGCCAGTCCTGACCGAATCAAGGTATAAAGGATCTTCATCTGAAAATCTACCTCAGCATTCACTGAGCATTTTAAAACTCGACATCAGAGATGTCTTCATGATGTAATGCTTAGCCAGCTTGGCCTGAAGAAGGAATAACATCCAGTATAATACTTGTTTTCTGGAATGAATATAGCCTACTGACCAGGAATTGCTTAACCAACACACAGAAAATTTGTGTGTTGAGCAGCTCTGGTTTTACTTTTAAAGCATCTGTGCATGGACCGATGTTTCTTTTAATGAAAAGCCTCGCTGATGAGAGACAGCAATGGTTGCTATGGCAACTGAGCAGCTAACTAATATGAGAAGCTTAAGCCAGCTTGAGTGCTATTGCTAAGAGTCCCCAGTCTTTGGCATTCCAAAGCTTTTTGCTGTGGTTTTACATTTTGGGGGTTTTTTGTTTCTTTTTTCCATTTCTCATTTTTAAAGTAAGTACATACTAAGTTAACTAAGTTATCCTTGCTTTTGAAAACAATGAATTGGGATGTGTAAACATGTTTTTATAGATGTTATTTAACTGATGCAGCAATGTCATGTCCTATTGGCAGTACCTAAATTATGGATTTTATTAACATTTAAAACAATGTGATCTTAACCCACTTACCATTATTTATGAGCTCAGTGACTGACATCTGATACTTTGTGCTTGTTTTCTTCAGCCCCTAAGAATACTGTGATTTCATGTGGAGGCCTGATCACAAAGGGCTAGAGTTAAGTAGCTGAGCTACTTGCCAGATGTAATTATGTTCTGAAGATGTACATATTCAAAAAGAAGTGCCTCATTTTAGAAATGAGTAGTGCTGGTGGTAGTGGCCCATAACAGTGGTATCTTCTTTAATACTCATCAGTATATTCCAGTAGCTGGCTCTCAATCAGTTTCACATAATGAAGTGACGGTCAGGAAACTTTTTCTGTAAAAAAGCCACATGGTAAATATTTGCAGGCCACATGTGTCTATGTTGCATATTCTTTGTTTAGTTTAGCTTTTGTTTTTAACAATCCTTTAAAAATGTCAAAACCATGTCTAACTCGCAGATGTGCAAAAACAGGCCACCAGCTGGATTTGGGCCATAGGCCATTGGTTTGTGACCACTGGGATAGAGAATTAGCATTTTTATGTGTGGGTAAGCCTTGATGATCAGCCATGTTTTATTTATGTCATTGTACTGTGGATTTTATGTGTCCTTTTTGAACTCTGACAGGTATTTTAGATCATGATCTTAACAGTGTTCTTTCAAAATGGCATACATATTTTGTAAAAAGAACTTGTAAATAACTGT